GGATATAGCTTAGTAACCCTGGGGCCAATTCCCAGTACCACAACTTAAATAAATATATTTCTTATAGTAGTTATCTTTTAAAGAAATTTTGGAGTTGGGTGTGGTGGCAAACACATGTAATCTCAGCACACAAGTAGCTGAGGCAGGAGAATTCCAAGTTTGAGCCCTGGTCAACTCAGAAACTCGGAGTGCCCATCTCAACATTTAAAAACACAGCCAGGGCCCGGGATTTAGCTCAGTGGTTCCACTGCCTGCCTCGAAAGCGCAAGCTCCTGAGTTCAATCCCAGGTACCAAAAAATTTTTTTAAAATAATTAAAAAAAACACAGCCAGGTGTGGTACTGCACACCTATAATCCCAGCACTTGGGAGGCTGAGGCAGACTAGCCTGGGCTACATTATGAGTTCAAGGTCAGCCTGGACTACATAGTGAGACCCCTGTCTCAAAAAAAGAAAGTTTTGGGGCCCGGGATGTAGCTCTGTGGCCCCATGCCTGCCTTGCAAGTGCAAGGTCTTGAGTTCTATTCCCTGTACTGAAAAAAAAGCTTTTGGAAGCCATAAGCCTTATTAGAAAAGCAATACTAGAAAAGTCTTGCATAGAAAATCAACAGGCAGAGTTGAAAACAATATTTAAATTATAGTACTGATGTGGACTTGCTATAAGCCATGAAAGCAAATACACAATTGTCATGATATTCTATTGCTTAAAGTACACTTAGCTTTTAATTCACTTTCTTTTTTTAAAATCCACTTTCATCTCATAAATAGCCAGATAGTCTCAGTTTCTTTCTTGTATACTTACTCACTAAGCTGAGGAAAATTTTTATATACCAAAAACATAACAAAAGCTGCAGACAGGAAAATGGACACCAATATAAGCAGTGACATTCTTGCTGACCCAGCTTCTGCCCAGGCTTTTTCTGGAAGAAGAAGGAGAAGGAAAAAAAGTAAATATAAATAACATAAATATAAATGTAAATAAATATAAAGGAAAACAGTATTTCAACCCAACATGTACCTCAAGAACCACCACCAAGGAAGAGGAGAGTTAATAGGGACTTGGTTTATAGGAAAGCAATAGTATGGGTTGGAGTGATGAAAGCAAGATTCATGGAGCAGGTGGAAACTTAGCTGAATATTAAAAGATGGGAAAAGAATTATACTATACTAGTCTATACTGTATGTAGCAAATATAATCTTAAGGATTTAAATAGGTAATGGAGTTCTCTTAAAAATTAAACAAGGCTTCAGCTGGGGATTTAGCTCAGTGGTTCCACCGCTTTCTCTGCAAGTGCAAGGACCAGAGTTCAATCTCTGGTACCAAAAAAAATAATAATAATAAATTAATTATAAACTCACCATTCCTAAAATGAGATAGGAGAGATAGGAGAAAGGTCCAGACAATGTTTAACTGCACTGCAGAACATTAATTATCCTGAGTTTTCCTTGAGTACGTGTTCTAATTGCTACTTGTTACTTTACAGTTAGTTGGATGATGAAATATATAGACATTTGAACAAAATTAACCTCTAGGATTACCTTGACAACTATTTTTTTCACTCTAAAATTAGGCAAAGTTTTAAGCATGGTGTTCAACAGCAGCACAAGAAAACAACTGAAAAAATGCAAAAAATCGCCACCTGCCTCGCCAGCACAGGTTCCAAGTTCGATCGCCGGTACCGAAAAAAGAGCAAAAAACCTGGAATGACATTCAATTTTGAGACACTCCTTTCAAACAAAAGGATAAAAAGTGATTGTTGGTGATTATGATTCAACAACAATCCTTCCATATAATTCTAATAAACCCAGGGATTAGTATGTAATTCACTTACAGTTCTAAACATAGATAAAAGTTCTAAATCTTGTTTTTAAAATTTATTTCTAAATTTCAGGTACATACATTTATAATGCTCTTTCTTTTTTTTTTTTTTGGTTTTTTTTTGGTACCGGGGATCAAACTTGGGTTCTTGCACTTACAATGTTCCTTCTTATGGCAACATTAGATGCATGCACCTTTAGCATTTACAACTACACATACTCGTACCTTCTTTTTCATTTATTTTTATTTTTATTTTTATTTTTTTTCGTATCTTCTTAACTTCCAAATCTTCCATCATACCAGTTCCTAGTTTGAATAATACAATTACCTGCTTTTCGACCTCTTTCCCTGGTACTGTTAGAGAAAGTCAGAACTGTGCACCTTCAACCTACAAGTTCACATTTTCCTGGCTTCTATCAAGGTGATCACTGATAAACAGTAATCCTTTTCTATCCCTCTCCAAAAAGATTACTTAGCCATGTTATTTCTACCTTCTTCTGCCTACAACCAATGACACTGCCTCCTACTTTAGTGTCCCCAATGTCTACCTCAAGATCTGCTCATGGAATTATCTTCCCTTTCCTCTAATCTTTTCATTAATGCTAGAACATTACCCTCTAAATCTTGCTCTTTAGATTCTCTTTCCCCCAACATCTTTGATGTTTTTCTTCTTACAAGCAAGCACCCTTTCTCTAATACAAAGAAATCCATCCTAAAAAAACATAAATTAACTCTAATAATCCTCTAGTATTGTCTTCATTCTTACTACTTTCATGTAAAAATCTTTCAGAAAGGAAAATGTAGTATCTACAATATCTTAGGAATTACTCTTACTGGTTATCCAGTCCACTTGTCCTCACCATTGAGTGTTTTTTAATCTACTTGACCCCACCATCAAAGAAAACCTGTTTCTCTTGAGGACATAAGTCTACAGAACAAGAAGTCTTTTAAAGTCACAACACTGTTGTAACATTGTTGAGGTAAAATATTTCAAGGGGTTTAAAGCTTAAAAAAATCACTGACTTGAAAATGGTAATAATACCATCAAGTATAAATTAAAATAGCTATAAAATATAAACAATTTTTTTAAAAACACGAAAGCACATTTATAGAAAGCAGAAGTAGCACTCTCAAACTCATATAAGAACTCAATCTCCAAGTCCTATACCCTGCAGCAACTCTGCTACCATCCAATCAATACAAACTCACAATCACCTACCCACTTTCAGGTACATCTATTTACTGAGGACCAACACCAAGCTTATACTAAACTTCTCCATAATCCTAAAAGATTTCACCACACATTTAAATGATCCACACAGTATCACAGACATTCATTTCTGCTCAAATTTAGCCACCTACTTTCAGTGCTATACACTAAGTTCTAACATTCCCTAGAACTGCTCTACCATGGACATTTTAAATTCTAATATTCAAGAAGGAAAGGGCAGAGGATTTAGCTCAGTGGCCCCATGCCTGCCTGGCAAGCACAAAGTCCTGAGTTCTATTCCCAGTATTGAAAAAAAAAAGTATCCTTGCCGGGGATGTAGCTCAGTGGGGCCATGCCTGCCTCACAAGCACAAGATCCTGAGTTTAATCCCTGGTACCAAAAAAAGCAAAAAGAAGAAAAATGGAAACAAAGCTTTTGTAAATAAGGACAGGAAGAGGGGTTGAAGTAAGAAGAGGGAAATGGGAAAAAAAAGAAGCAAGATATATCATGTACAGGTACAAATTCCCTATGATGAATGTTATCATTACGTATATTTAAATGTACCAAAAAATTTTGTTTTTGTTTTTGGTACAAGGGATTGAACTTGGGTCCTTGCACTTTCAAGACAGGCGGCGAAACCACTGAGCTAAATCCCCGGCCCCTCCAAAAATTTTTAAACCCAAAAACTTTTCTAATATTCATTTCTTTTGCTTACTTTTTTTTTTTTTTTTTGCAGTACCAGGGATTGAACTCAGGACCTTGCACTTGCCAGGTAGTTTTGGTGCCACTAAGCTACACTCCCAGCCTCTTTTCCTTCCATATACAGCCTGGACTTCCTATATCAACTGAGCTGACATTTTTTTTTTTTTCCGTACTGGGGATCGAACTTGGGTCCTTGTGCTTGCACAGCAGGCGGCGAAACCACTGCACTATATCCCCAGCCCGACCCAACATCTTTGATAAAATCCTTATTCTTTCCTTCTATCTATCTGCTATGTTTTGGGGGTAGCTTGAGTGTCCCCCAGGGTTCACTGTGACGGAACACCTAGGAACTAGTCAACCTTAGAGAGGTGGTGCCTAATAGGAGGTCCTTGGGTCGTTGGGGGTTTGTCCTCCAAAAGAGGCCCCACAGGTCTCCTTGATAGTTCTGCTACAGTTAACATGAAAGCCTGATTTTGGCCCCACTTGGTCCTATCTGCTTCCTGACTCAAGATGTGACTTCTTGTCCCAAGAACTGACATTTACATCCTCCATGAAGGCCTCACCAGAGGACCAATAAGGTGTCATGTCCTTGAACCTGCAAAACTATACACTAAATTTTCTTAATAAATGAGCCACCCTAGGTATTTCATCAAGACAGGTTCATTTTCTTTATTTCTATACCAAGACAGGAAAATCATGAGTGATCTATGTCACTGGGAAAACTGCCTTGGCCCCATTCCTAGTGCCTTTTCTGGGTATATAACATGAATGAGACCCAGCCAATCAGGTGTTTGTTTTTTTTTACCATCTAACAACAGTGAAAAGTGCAGAGATGAGCACCTAATGTAAAGCAATACAATCAGTGAATACTGAGACCTTGGTAATACAAGGACAGTGCTGGCAAACCTATGGCACACATGCCACAACAGGGTGTTTGTATCATTGAAAGCGCTAAAAGGTTCTCCAACACTGTGCTAGGTCAAAGATTCTCAAAACTAATAAGAAAGCACTTAGCTTGCCTGGAATTCAAGAACTAAACTTATGGTAAAGCTGACATCAAGTAAGCAAACCAAGGGCTGGAGATTTAGCTCGGTGGTTCTGCTGCCTGCCTCGCAAGAGCAAGGTCCTGAATTTGATCCCCGGTACCAAAAAAAGAAAAAAAAAAAAAAGTAAGCAAACCAAGATATGAAAAAAACCTGGTGCCGAGATAGCATTCAGCCCCTGGTTCCAGCTTGATGACACTAAATTCTACTTTACTGATTTTTAAGTTACCTAAACCAACAAATTCCCTTTCAGCAAAGGTTTCAATTGAGTTTTCTATTTACTGTAGGCAAAAAGAAAAAAAAGCCTAAAATATAAAATTTGTGTTTAGACTGTCATCCACAAATCACACTAATACCTTGGTTAATGTCCCATTGCCAATTCTACTTGTAGATCCCATTTCTCAGTAATCAGAGCTTCCTTTTTCTTCTAAGCCACCAAGTACCATGCTTACTGTGAATGCTTAAGGAGTTATTTGTTGAAGCAAATTAGTAAGGCAGGATCCAGAACAGGAATCTAAGATAGATTTATTATTCCAGTTTGGAAAATACTGCCTTTTAAAAGCAAGAGAAGCAACTTCAAGACAGTGGTTCCATGGTGCAAGCCTCTAATCCCAGCTACTCAATAAGCTTCGGCAAGAGGATGGCATGTCAGAGGCCAGCCTGGGCAATTTAGCAAGACTCTGGTCTAGGGCTGGGAATTTAGCTCAGTGGTTCTGCTGCCTGCCTCTCAAGTGCAAGGTCCTGAGTTTGATCTCCGATACCAAAAAAACCCAACAACAATAAAAAGACTCTGTCCCCTGACCCAAAAATGAAAACAGGTAAGGATATATAGCTCAGTGGTAGAGTACCACTGGGTTTGATCCCCAGAATCACCAATAAATAAATAAATAAATGAAAACCAATAGTGTTTCTCAAATATTTTTCTGTCCCACAATAATTTATTTTACATTATGATCTGCTACATACAAAATCTATATAAATGAAAATGACTTCAAGAAATAATTGAGGGAGAGGAAGGGGATGTACCAACTTCCCATGGTAAATATAATCATTATGTACTAATAAAATTTTTTTTTTAAATTGAACAGGGCTGGGGATTTAGCTCAGTGGTTTCGTCACCTGCTGCACAAGGGCAAAGACCTGAGTTTAATCCCTGGTTCAAAAAAAAAAAAAAAAAAATTGAACCTACATGCTAGACAAGTGCTTTACCTCTGAAATACATCTGGAACATTATAAAGAATTTCTAACATGAGAAAGACAAAAGGAAGCAGAGAGGAAAAAGAAAAACACTGGTAATCATTAATCATCAGGCTGGATCAAAAACTTCCCTAGCTTAATATAATCTGATACCATTAGAACAGGACAATCAGGAAGGCCGACACTTACTGCCACCCAACAGAAACCCTCCATTCACAACAAATCAATCCCTTTACTGACATGCATAAAAGGTTCACACTAACCTTTGAGCCTACTGTTTCCCATGGCCCAGCAACTCCTTCTCTCATTACTTATTCAAACCCTATTTCTCTAAGAAGGCATGCCTTCACACTTTATAGGTGTGTCATCTGCAAAAAATCACTTGACAACATCATAAAACAGTGAGGCTGGGCGTGGTGGCACATGCCAGTACTCCCAGCACTCAAGAGACTGAGGTCAGCCTGGGCTACATAGTGAGTTCAATGCCAGCCTGAACTACAAAGTGAGACCCTGTCTCAAAATTAATTAATGGGGCCGAGAATTTACCTCAGCAGCACAGCGTCCGCCTCACAAGCACAAGGTCCTGAGTTTGATCCTCAGTACAAAAAATTAATTAAAAAAAAAATTTATTTGAAAATACATTACCTGTATTTCCCTTTATACACTTTTTTTTTCCCTTGAGGCAGGGTCTAGCTATATAGTTCAGGCTGGCCTCTTTTTAATTTTTTATTTATTTTTAAAATTTATTCATTTATTTTTTGGTACTGGGGATTGAACTCAGGTCCTTGCGCTTGCACAGCAGGCGGTGAAAACACTCAGCTAAATCCCGAAGCATTATAAATTATTTTCTCTCAACTAACAGGTTTGAAGCTATAAATGGAGATTAAACAACTTATAATTTTTTAAAATTTATTCATTTATTTTTTGGTACTGGGGATTGAACTCAGGTCCTTGCGCTTGCACAGCAGGCGGTGAAAACACTCAGCTAAATCCCCAGCCCTGGCCTCTTTTTTAATATATGTGCTGCTGAAGGGAGCACAGAAAGACATTGAATTTATTTTTTTATTTTACTTATTTGTTTATTTATTTTGGTACCGCAGATAAAACTCAGGACCTTGGGCTTTTGAGGCAGGTGGTGGAACCACTGAGCTAAATCCCTGGCCCAAGGCCAGCCTTGAACAACGGGAATCATCCTACCTTAGCCTCCTGCGTGCTGGGGTTACAGGTGTGTGGCACCACACTGATAGGATAATTTCTTTATGAGCTTTAAAAACACTTACTAAAAGCTCATTTTGACTGCTGAAAAGCAATAAGCAATTTCATGCCATGAAGTAATCAAAGCATTTAGTTTCTAAGTATACTTTCTCCCTTAGAACAATATTTAGGCCAGGCACAGTGGTGCCTTCCTGTAGTTCCAGCACTTGGGAGGCTGAGACAGGAAGACTGCTGAGAGTCTGAGGCCAGCCTGGGCTACATAGTGACTTTAAGGCCACCCTGAACTACATACCAGGACCCTGTCTCAAAAAAACAAAACAAAACAATATTTAAAGCCCTGAGAAATTCCAGGATGGTGTAGCGGGGGAAGCGTCTTTAAAATGAACGTCTTTAAAATGAATTATTTTATTTAACCCATGCATCAGCCAATTAAACAGATAATAGTATTATCCCCATTTTTACAGTTCGGACACTGAGCCTTTTAAAGTTATCAAGTCCAAGACGGGAGAGGTGGTCCACGCCTGTCATCCCAGCTCTTGGGAGGCAAAGGCAGGAGGACTGCCATGAGTTCGAGGCCAGCCTGGGCTACAAAGTGAGTTCAGGGCCAGCCAGAACACAGACCGAGACCTTGTCTCAAAAATAAAAAGAAAGGCGGGGGATTTAGCTCAGTAGTTCCGCCGCCTGGCGTAAGGACTCGAGTTCGATCCCCGGTACCAAAAAAAAAAATAAATAAATAAAATAAAATAAAAAGAAAGTTAACAAGTCTAAGGTTCCAAGTAAAAGACAAAGAAAGGACTCAAATCCAGGTGCTCCCTGTCATCTGGAAACGCCACCTGGAAGATCAAGTCCTTGCTCTTAACTACTGTACTAACGGCTTTGTGACTGTACAAGCGATGTATCCTACCCGGAGCCTCAGTTTCTTCATCTGTAACAACGAAATGAATACTAAAGTTCCTTCCCGATCTGTCCGGCTTCGTTATCAACCTTACAAGCTCCCGGGCGTGAAGCAGCCCGCTGTCATTTCTTTCAACTGAATTCAATTTAAAAAGCATCTGCCACTCACCCACCAGTCATCTGGCCTTGCGCTGCGCGGGGACCTATGCTCGAGGAACCCCTGCCCTGCGTCGGCCCGGACGCCAGCAGGCCGCTCCTTCCCCAGAAGTCCCCAAAACCCGCAGGCGTCCTTTCCCGCCGGAGCCGCTCCTGGCACACTCGGCCCTGGACCCCCAGATCCCCTCACCCTTCAGGTGGTCTCCGCTACTCGGCGCCGCGGGCCCCCGAGTCCCCGCCGTCCCGTCGTTCACAGGGTTCGTGTGGAACGTGCCCGCCGGCGATCGCTCGGCGACTCTGCCTTTCGCCATGGCTGCTGTAAGGGAAGGGGGAGAGAGCTGGGTGATGCAGCGGCCCCTTGACAACAAAGCTGGAAGCAGATGCCTTACACCATCCAGGCGCCAAGCCAGAGCCACTTCCGGGGCGACCTCCTCACCTCAGACGACCTCAGCCCAGCGAGCACAGCGACGCTCCGCAGATAGCCACAGAGCCCCCTCGGACGAGGCTCCGCCCCGCGCCGCCGCAGAGCCGCCCCAGAGCCTCGCGCGCTCGCGCCCGCCCAGTCACCGCGGGACAAATCAGAGGTCCCGCCCACCCGTCCAGGGTCCCGCCCACTTCCCAGGACCCCGGCCGGCTCCGCTTCTGAGGGATGCGCAGTCGCACGGCCAAATCACCCAGTTGCGGCTCGCGCACTGGCGCGAGAAGTTGGGTTTTAATTATACGGAAGTGCGTTTCCAAGGACTTCGAACTCTGTCAGCGACGCGGCGCCCGGAAGTGCTTTGGAGTGATTACTCTGCGTTTTGCAGCTGACCATTCAGCTTGTTCGTCGTAAACTAGTCAGTTTACACCTGCTGTCGAAACTGATGGGGATGCAGAATGCATGTTCTGAAGATGGTTGGGATACGTAAGACCTGAGCTATACCCACCTGAATTTCAGAAAACCTAAGGCTCAGGCTGAAGCTACAACCTGTGAAGGTTGGCGGGTGCCAGAAATGGGTTTAGAGCCGGGCGTAGTGGCGCACGCCTGTAATCCCAGGGCCCGGGTGGTTGAGGCAAGAGGATGGCTGCGAGTTCAAGACCAGCTTGAGCTACATGGTGAGTTCAAGGACAGCCTGAATTACATAGCGAGACCCTGTCTCCAAAAAAAAAAAAAGAAAGAAAAGAAGTTTGCCTTTTATAAAAAATAGGAAAAGGGG